TGGAGTGGTAAAGAGTCCTACCACGGAGGACGCAATAAGGCTGCCCTCCCCAGAAACCTTTTGAAAAGACTTTGGGAGTACATCCAGGAGAGCCGCGAATGCCAGGGCAAAGTAATCCTTTCACATGCTTGCTTTTAAACCATGTATAGTATTTTAAAAGGTACACTCACCGGAGGTCCCTTCTCCACCTGCCGGGTCCAGGAGGCAGCCTTGGGTGGGTTCAGGGGCTACTGGCTCCAGGTCCAGGGTGAGAAACAGTTCCTGGCTGTCGGAAAACCGGTTTCTCTGCTTGCTTGCTGTTATCTATCTATAACCTCATCATCATCATCATCATCATCGTCCCCAAAACCTGCTTCCGTGTTGCCTCCATCTCCATTGAAGGAGTCAAACAAGACGGCTGGGGTAGTGGTGGCTGAACCCCCTAAAATGGCATGCAGCTCATCATAGAAGCGGCATGTTTGGGGCTCTGACCCGGAGTGGCCGTTCGCCTCTCTGGTTTTCTGGTAGGCTTGCCTCAGCTCCTTCAGTTTTATGCGGCACTGCTTCGGGTCCCTGTTATGGCCTCTGTCCTTCATGCCCTGGGAGATTTTGACAAAGGGTTTGGCATTTCGAAAACTGGAATGGAGTTCTGATAGCACGGATTCCTCTCCCCAAACAGCGATCAGATCCCGTACCTCCCATTCGGTCCATGCTGGAGCTCTTTTGCGATTCTGGGACTCCATCATGGTCACCTCTGCTGATGAGCTCTGCATGGTCACCTGCAGCTTGCCACGCTGGCCAAACAGGAAATGAGATTCAAAAGTTCATGGTTCTTTTCCTGTCTACCTGGCCAGTGCCTCTGAGTTGAGAGTGCTGTCCAGAGCGGTCACAATGGAGCACTCTGGGATAGCTCCCGGAGACCAATACCGTCGAATTGTGTCCACAGTACCCCAAATTCAACCCGGCAAGGCCGATTTAAGCGCTAATCCACTTGTCAGGGGTGGAGTAAGGAAATCGATTTTCCTTTAGAGCCCTTTAAGTCGAAATACAGGGCTTCATCGTGTGGACGGGTGCAGGTTTACATCGATTTAACGCTGCTAAATGCGACCTAAAGTCCTAGTGTAGACCAGGGCTGACTGTCCACCGGGTGCAGACAGGGTCGCACCCGCCAATAAGATGCTCCCCCTTCCGAGTCACAGGGAAAACTGCTCAGGACCTGGAAAGAGAGGTCCAGGACATGCTGGCTTTGGGGGGGATCCAGCCATCTGCCAGCCCCTGTGCCTCCCCGGTGGTGCTGGTCCCCAAAAATGACGGGTCAGTCCGGTTCTGTGTGGACTATCGGAAGCTCAATGCCATCACTGTATCTGATGCCTACCCCATGCCCAGGCCTGACGAGCTCCTAGACAAGCTGGGAGGAGCCCGGTACCTTACCACCATGGACCTTACAAAAGGCTACTGGCAAGTGCCGCTGGATGCAGATGCCCGACTGAAATCGGCCTTTATCACCCCTCTGGGGCTCTACGAGTTCCTGACCCTGCCTGTCGGCCTCAAGGGAGTGCCGGCCACCTTCCAGCGCCTGGTGGACCAGCTACTGAGGGGGATGGAGAGTTTTGCCATGGCGTATATTGATGACATCTGTGTCTTTAGCCAGACCTGGGAGGACCACGTGTCCCAGGTTAGACAAGTGCTGGACCGACTCCAGGGGGCTGGGCTGTCTGTAAAAGCGGAGAAGTGCAAGGTGGGGATGGCGGAAGTATCTTACCTGGGCCATCGGGTGGGGAGCGGCTGCCTAAAGCCGGAACCCGCCAAGGTGGAGGTGATCAGAGACTGGCCTGCTCCCCACACCAAAAAGCAAGTCCAAGCCTTTATTGGGATGGCAGGATACTACCGAAGATTTGTACCCCACTTTAGCACCATAGCCACCCCCATCACTGAGCTATGCAAGAAGGGGAAGCCAGACAAGGTGGTCTGGACCGAGCAGTGCCAGGAGGCTTTCCGGGCGCTGAAGGAGCCTCTGGTCAGTGGCCCAGTTCTGGCAAATCCTTTTTTTGACAAGCCCTTTGTGGTGTTCACCGACGCCTCAGACACGGGACTGGAGGCGGTGTTAATGCAGGAGGATGGAAAGGGGGAGAGACACCCCATCGTGTACCTGAGCAAGAAGTTGCTACCCCGGGAGCAACACTACGCGGCCATCGAGAAGGAGTGCCTGGCCATGGTGTGGGCCCTCAAGAAACTAGAGCCCTATCTCTTCGGGCGACACTTCACCGTCTACACCGACCACTCTTCCCTGACCTGGCTGCGCCAGATGAAAGGAGCCAAGGGGATGGGCGGGGGTGTGTGTGCCCCTCTGCACCACAGTCCCCCACCCCCTGGGAGGGCCCCTGCTCCTCTCGCCCAAGGGGCTTCCAGGCATCAGAGCGGGATGGGCTCCCTGGGGTGCCAGCTAGCCCCTGCCCCGGGGCATGAGCCTCCTCGCCTCCCTGGGGCTCAGCTGGGAATCCCCGGGCACTGAGCCAGTCACACTCAGCCCCTGGGGCCCCAAACCAGGCCCTGCTCATGGAGCTGGAGGCCCAGTGCTAGCAGCTGGCTCCTAGCGGGCCCATCGCTGAGCCAGGCTGGAGTTTGTGGGCTGTGCGGGGCACTGGGGGGCCCGTAACCCCAAGACACGCATCTGGCTCTCGCTAGTGGGAATGAGACCCCCCTCCCCCGGGGGAATCTGTGCAGCCCTCTACCACCCCCTCCCTGCCCCCCCTTCCCCTTTCCCCGCCATTTGTGTGACTCTGGTGTTCCCAGCCCAAACTATGATCTTTTATGACCCTTTACACCGTTCATAAACCTTTACAGTCCCCACCGCAAGGACATGCCACCTCCTTACGGGAAGGCTGGGCAGGGACGAGGAAGTGGTGCCCCAGACGTCCCACCCAGCCGCTGCCTGCAGAGCCCGTGTCTGGGGCCGTCCGAGGGCCGGGCGAGCAGGCAGCGCCCTCCCAGCTACGTGTCCACAGCCCTGCACGCCCCTGGGCCTCAGCCCCGCACCGTGCCCGGGCGTGAGGCGGCCCCCTGCTGCCCACGGCATCGGGACACACGGCCAGAGTGTAGGGTTGGCACGGCAGCGCATGGAGCTGTCTGTACAGCAGCCCTCCCCTGGCTCCCGGTGTCCATCGCTGGGCTGGCATTGCCCTCTGCCGGCCGTCAGTCGTGGTGCAGCCCCGTGTCTGCCACCCACAGGCCTGTTCGGGTGGACGCCTGACTGCACAGACCGGGGAGCAGCAGCTGTGACCCCAGGGAAGCCACTTTCACCCCCCAGGGCCAGGCCCCCTGCTAACGGGGGGGAGGCGGGCCAGCGTAGCAGAACCCAGGCCAGGCGTGGGCTCTGGACACTCCCCCAGCAGCTACCAGCCATTCTTCAGCAGGCACCATGGCCTAGTGGTGAGAGCAGTGGTCAGGAGTTGTGGGTTCTGTTCCCCTTCTGCCACTGATTGACTTGGGCAAATCTCTTCACCCCCACGGGCTTCTCGCTAGGGCGGTTGGGATGTCCAAGGTCTCTGGGGCAGCTGCTGGAAGGTGCTACACAAAGGCCAAAGATTTGTACGAGGGAGAGGGGCCCAGATGCGTACAGCCAGCAAGAGTGTGCCTGGGTGCCTCCTCCAGGGCTGGGTCCCACCGCGGGGGTGGCATAACCCGCAGTCTCTGTGTTACTTCAAGGGGTAAATGACATTTCACTTTCCCCACACCACTCAAGATTTACAGCCCTCTGTCATAGCCCCCCTTAGTCGGCTCCTTTCCAAGCTGAACCTGCCCCAGGTTTAATCTCTCCTCGTACGGAAGCTGTTCCAGCCCCCTGATGGTTTTTGTTGCCCTTCTCTGCCCCTTTTCCAAGGCTAATACGTCTTTCGGAGAGGGGGCGACCAGCCCCGCAGGCCGTGTTCGGGCGGGGGATACCAGGGGTTTACATCGTGCCATTACGTATTTACTGTCTCATTGTCTATCCCCTTCCCTAGCAGGGCCTAGCACCGTGTCCTCTACTTAGCCAGCCGCTGCACGCTGAGCACGTTTCCAGAGAACCAGGCACGATGACGCGGCTGGTGCTCAGCGAGGGGCCGGGCCCCGAACTGTCCTGTCCTGGGGACCCTCGCTCAGGCTCAGACTCACCTGCACTTCAGAGACCCCAGCGCAGCGTCAGGCGCCTCCTCCGAGCGGCCAGGGGAGCTGCTGTGAACACAGACATGCCCAGCAGGAGGCAGCGTCGCTCGAGCAATGAGCTGCCCTCACCGCCCAACAGGGGCCACAGGGATGTGGGAAGGGCTGGGGCAGGAGGGGAGGAGCCCACCGGATCCCCCCCGCCCACACTTTACAACGTTACACTGCGGGGGGGGACGACACATGGCCAGAGCGGGGCGTGTAGGGGGCCCGCGGCAGATAGACACGGCCAGGGCGGTGGGTGCAGAGGGCACGGGGCAGATAGCCACGGCCAGGGCGGGGGGTGCAGAGGGCACGGGGTAGATAGCCACGGCCAGGGCGGGGGGTGCAGAGGGCACGGGGCAGATAGACACGGCCAGGGCGGGGGGCAGATAGACACGGCCAGGGCGGGGGGTGCAGAGGGCACGGGGCAGATAGACACGGCCAGGGCGGGGGGTGCAGAGGGCATGGGGCAGATAGACACGGCCAGGGCGGGGGATGCAGAGGGCACGGGGCAGATAGACACCCTTCTTTCCCACCCACTCCGCCCAGTTCTCTGGGCCTGGTTCCCCTCTGGCGCTGCTCTGGAGCTGTGGTGCAGGCCAGGGCTGAGCCCAGGTGGGACGGGGGACTCAGACCCACATATTCCGCCAACCTGGGGCTTCTGCCCCATGCTCCATCCAGTGGGGCCTCTCCCTAGCCCCATTCAGGGCCCTCCCCTGTCCTTTGCCGAGCCCCTGTGCTGCGGATACTGCAGGGGTTCCTCCTCTCAGACCTTTCCACACCGGTCTCCAATCTATGGAGGGCAGGTGAGGCAGGGCTGGCGGGGAGCCTCTTGGGGCAGGGCTCCAGGGCTGGGGGGGGTGTTCTGTGGGGCTTCCTGGGACTCACCCTCCGTGCCTTCACCCCCCTTGGGTCACACCGTGAGCTTCCTGCACCGAGTTCCCCCGAGCTGGACACCAGAGGGAGAATTGCACCCACAAAGGCAGCAGAGCACCCCGACTTCCTGACTGCAGCAACTCTCAGCCAGCAGGGTAACAGCCGGAGGGTTATGAGAATAGCCTTACCACTGAGAACAGAAAGTTACAGCAAAGACCAGCTGGGTTAGTCCAGAACCCAGAGCCCTCTGACCCCTCTTCAGTCCCAGTCCAGAAGCTTCCCCTGGGTAGCCCATACTAACCAACCCCACCTGGCCCCTCCCCAGTCCTTTCTCCGCCAGCTGTGTCCTAAGGCGGGGGGACACCCAGGGTCCTTTGTTCCTGGGTGCCAAAGTCTGGGCAATTGGAGTGGCCATTGTGGTCTGGGACTCTTCCTGGGCCTCCAGGCCCCAGGCAGCCTGGGTGGGTCATACCTGTGTGTCTGGGTCCCTGCAAAGAGCAAACAACCCTTTCCCTCACCTAGTTACCCATGCAGCAGATGGGGAAACTGAGGCACAGACAATAGCCATCCAAAATATTATGAAAAATTCCCACTGCGACACAGCCCAGCCCAGTCCGCTGGGTGGGGCCTCCCTCCCTCCCCACCTGCTCGCAGGTGCTGCTATAAAGCTCCAGCCCCAAAGCCGCTCCCAGTTCCCAATTCCTGGATTGTCGAGAGCCCTGCGGGCTAACGGGAGGCGCAGCCCCACCAGGCGAGGCAGAGAGAGACAGAGCCCGGTGCTGGGAAACCTGGGGCCAAGCCCCGACCCCACCAGCCGCCATGAAGCCCAGAAGCCTGAGCACAGATGCCCTGCGGCTGGGTCTAGTCCTGCTGCTGCTGGCCAAAGGTGAGCCTTAGTCTCCAGGAGCTGCTGGGAGGGGGCCATCGGGCCTGAGCAGCACTTGTGGAGTCGGCTCAGACCCACCCCGGGGCACTGGGCTGCTCAGATGGGGCCTATCAGCTCTTGCTGCCAACACGGGGCTGGTTTCACTGCTGATCTGCCCCTCAACAGGGGGACAATGGGCGAGTGGGGCCTGATCGTCCCAGATGCCCAGTGACCCAGAGGACCATGGGCAGCACCTGTCACTCCTGGGGTCCCCTCTGCCCAGGCCCCGCCAGGGCGCAGTGTTCCTAGGGTGCCCTCTGCGCAGCCCCACCCAGGGCTCTGTGTTCATGGGGTCCCCTCTCCCCTGGGCTGGGTGCTTTGGGGAGCCCCTTCTCCTCCCCCGAGCCCCTTTCTGACGGTGCCCAGGAACTCCCGGGTTGGGACCCAGGAGGGCGTTGGCCGACAGCCATTGGCCGACACTCCCCAGGGGCTGACGCAGGTGTGTCTGGACTGTGTCGGTCTGGCTGAGCCCAGTGCTAACGGCCCAGGACCAGTCAGGGAAGCCCAGCAGGGAACGTCCGGTCCAGGACCCCCGGGGGCAGCATGTGGGTCCCTTCCTGAGAGTGCAGGGAGCCCACGCCCCGAGTGACCTGCCAGGAGGCCGGGACACGCGCCCCAAGAGAAGGGGGGATGTTAGCCCCAGGCTGGTGCTGGCTGCAGGACAGGCCCCAGCTGCGGGCTCAGGTCGAGGGCGTCTTTATCAGTCCCAGGACTGCGTGGCCCATGGGCCGCCTGTGAGCGGGGCAGTGCTGCTCACTGGCCGGCCGGGCTCTCGGCATCGGGGTGGGCTGCTGTGTTAGCGGCAGGAATTGCTCAGCGGGACGCCGCAGCGGGACGTGCGAGGCCCAGGAAGGATGGGGTCGGAGCCTCAGCACTCCAGGGCTGGAGCCCCGGCCGCCCGCACTGCCTGGGGGGTGTCGGCAGGCGGAGGAGAGGCAGGGAGGGCCCTGCCCATGGGGTCAGCGCCGTTCCTCCAGGCACCTTCCACAGCAAGGAGGGAGGCAGAGGCTGCTGGAGCCCCTTGTGGGCAGGACACTCTGGCCAGGCTGGCGCTGCGAGGCCCCTGCTCTGGACCCCCGGCTACCATCGCCAACAAAAGCCACTTGGGGAAGGAGCCAAGTCAAAATCCAAACCAACGGGCCAGAACGCAGAGCCCAGCCCAGCCCAGCCCGCCCCACGGCTCGCTCCACACGGGGCACACAGGTCTGGGGAGCTTTCCGGGGAACCCAGGGGTGGGGGCAGCTCCCCGGGGACCCTGCAGGGCTTGTCTCTACGGGGGACATCGGGCAGCTCCAGGTGGGACCCCAAGGGCTCCCGACACCCGGCTCCACGCACCGAGTCCGGCCTCCAGACACGGGGCTCGGGGAAGGTGCCTGATCCGCAGCGGGGCTGAGCTGTGCTGGAGCCCAGGGGTCGCTGGTAGGGGTCCACGTCAGACCCCACATCGGGGTGTTGGAGCCCCGGCAGCGCAGCCCTCTCCGAGTTCGGGGGGGGGGAGGGGGACTCGATGTGTCAGGCTGCGGCCCCAGGATCTCCAGTCGCTCCCATCCAACCAGCACGGGGATCATCAGCACAGCCCCGGGACCTGTCCCCACAGGCCACCCCCCGCTCCTGCAGGACCCCCAGGCAACAGTGACGTGCCCCCTCCTTGTCTGACCCCTGCCTAGGAGCCACTTCATCCCCTCGGGGTCACCGGCTGCCCCCCTTGTCCCTGTGACAGGCCAGGCCTTGGCTGAGCCCTGGGAGCTTTTGGCCTCGCTGGGACCTTGTGGCAGTGAGTTCCCCAGGCTCATCACATGCTGTGTAAAATAAGTGCCCCTGACTCGTGGGCGCCTGATGGCCCTGGGGGTTTCTGCTCCTCACTTGAACCCCACATTTTGTTCTGTTTTCTCTGAACTGAACAGACCGATTCTCTCCTAGGAAACACGATCGCCAACACGGCCACAGCCGGCACGGCACCCGCCAGCGACACGACCACCCCCATGCCCCAAGGGGACACAACCACCCCGGTCCCCCTCGGTGACACAACCACCCCGGCCCCCCTCGGTGACACAACCACCCCCACACTCCCCGGTGACACGACTACCCCCGGGCCTCCCAGCGAGACGACTACCCCCAGTCCTCCTGGCGACACGACTACCCCTGGTGACACAACCACCCTGGCACCCCCTGGCGACACAACCACCCCTGAGCCTCCCGGCGACACAACGACCCCGGCACCCCCTGGTGACACAACCACACCCACACTCCCCGGTGACACGACTACCCCTGGGCCTCCCAGCGAGACGACTACCACCAGTCCTCCTGGTGACACGACTACCCCTGGTGACACAACCACCCCTGGGCCTCCCGGCGACACAACCACCCCTGAGCCTCCCGGTGACACAACCACCCCTGGGCCTCCTGGCGACACAACCACCCCTGATACTCCCGGCGACACAACGACCCCTGGGCCTCCTGGCGACACAACCACCCCTGAGCCTCCCGGTGACACAACCACCCCTGGGCCTCCTGGCGACACAACGACCCCTGAGCCTCCCGGCGACACAACCACCCCTGGGCCTCCTGGCGACACAACCACCCCTGATACTCCCGGCGACACAACGACCCCGGCCCCCCATGGTGACACAAGCACCCCTGGGCCTCCTGGCGACACAACCACCCCCTCACTCCCTGGCGACACAACTACCTTTGGGCCTCCTGGCGACACGACTACCCCCGGTGACACAACCACCCCGGCCCCCCTCGGTGACACAACCACACCCACACTCCCCGGTGACACGATTACCCCCGGGCCTCCTGGCGACACGACCGTCCCTGGCGATGTGACCGCCACCAAAATTGCAAACACCACTCCCCCCGGCAGCACCAACACGACCTCAACCCGGAGCCCCTCCACGACAGTCGTGATCCGAATCTCTCTCTTGTTCCGCATTGTGAACAGGATCTTCGACAACTCTCTTCTCGACCCCAACTCCATTAACTACCTGAAGTTGCAAGTCACTATCCAGATCATGGTGAGCACAGCAGCCCCTCCCTCCCCTCCCGGCACCCTGCCCCGGCCTGCCAGCTGGGGGTGGCTGCCAGCCCCAGGCTGGGGGCTTCGCGGGGAGCTCCATCGAGCTGCCGTGAGCCTTCGGGCCTCTGGTGGCTGCTGCCGTTCGGGCTCCACACACAGAGACCCCATGGAGCAGGGAGGGGGAGACACCCCCACCCCACCCCCGGCCCAGCCCTGGGCACCAGGCCCCTCAGCCCCAGAGTCTCCTGTCCTGGAGCAGTGAAGGGACAGACCCTCAATCCTGTCTGGGAGCCCCCTCCCCGGGACCCTGCCCTCGGCTCTGGGCCCCTCTGCCCCTCTCCAGCCAGCTGTGGGGAGACACCCCGTGCCCCTGCACCCCAGCGAAGAGCACAGAGAAGAACAAGGAAGGTTGGCAGGGGCCGGGGCAGATCCGCCAAGCTGGGTGCTCCCAGCCTCCCCGAGCTGGCTGGGTGCTGGCGGTGACCCTGTTCCCCTCTGTCTGTGACAGTACGGCAAGATCTATGGCTGCCCAACGTGCCCGAATGGGCAGAACTACCTGGGATTGACTGATCTGCGTTTCAGGTACAGTGTGTGCCATGGGGCTGCCCCAGCTGTGGGCAGGGGAGGGGGCAGCCTGCTGCCTCCTGGGCTGGGGTGGGGGAGAAAGGTGAGGAGAGAGAGGCTAAATCTATGAGCGTGTGACCCTGGGGGGGACATGTCTGAGCAGCCCAGAGCTTTGGCTGCCTGAGGCCGTGCTGGGCAGGTGTGCTGCCCTGGGGGGCTCTGGCAGGGGTAGGGGCAGGTGGGAATGGAGGAGCCGGAGCAGGGGCAGGTGGGAAGGGGGGGTTGGGGCAGAGGCAGGTGGGAATAGGGGAGGTTGGTGCGGGGGCAGGTGGGAAGGGCAGGGTTGGTGCAGGGGCAGGTGGGAATAGGGGAGGTTGGTGCGGGGGCAGGTGGGAAGGGCAGGGTTGGTGCGGGGGCAGGTGGGAATAGTGGAGGTTGGTTTAGGGGCAGGTGGGAAGGGCAGGGTTGGGGCAGGGGCAGGTGGGAATAGGGGAGGTTGGTGCAGGGGCAGATGGGAAGGGGGGGGTTGGGCAGGGGCAGGTGGGAATAGGGGAGGTTGGTGCGGGGGCAGGTGGGAAGGGCAGGGTTGGGGCAGGGGCAGGTGGGAATAGGGGAGGTTGGTGCGGGGGCAGGTGGGAAGGGCAGGGTTGGTGCGGGGGCAGGTGGGAATAGGGGAGGTTGGTGCGGGGGCAGGTGGGAATAGGGGAGGTTGGTGCAGGGGCAGGTGGGAATGGGGGGGTTGGGCAGGGGCAGGTGGGAATAGGGGGGGTTGCAGGGGCAGGTGGGAATAGTGGAAGTTGGTGCGGGGGCAGATGGGAATAGGGGAGGTTGGTGCGGGGGCAGGTGGGAATGGAGGAGCGGGCAGGGGGGGTGGGAATAGGGGAGGTTGGAGCGGGGGCAGGTGGGAATAGGGGAGGTTGGTGCAGGGGCAGGTGGGAATAGGGGAGGTTGGTGCGGGGGCAGGTGGGAATGGAGGAGCCGGAGCAGGGGCAGGTGGGAATAGGGGAGGTTGGGGGGGCAGGGGGGGGCGGGGGGAAAGGGAGGTTGGTGCAGGGGCAGGTGGGAAGGGGGGTTGGGGCAGGGGCAGGTGGGAATAGTGGAGGTTTGGTGCGGGGGCTGGTGGGAATGGAGGAGCCGGGGGAGGGGGGGGGGGGGAGGGGGGGGGGGGGGGGGGAGGGGGGGGAGCAGGGGCAGGTGGGAATAGGGGAGGTTGGTGCGGGGGCAGGTGGTAAGGGCAGGGTTGGGGCAGAGGCAGGTGGGAATGGAGGAGCCGGAGCAGGGGCAGGTGGGAATAGGGGAGGTTGGTGCGGGGGCAGGTGGGAATAGGGGGGGTTGGGCGGGGGCAGGTGGGAATGGAGGAGCCGGAGCAGGGGCAGGTGGGAATAGGGGAGGTTGGTGCGGGGGCAGGTGGGAATAGGGGAGGTTGGTGCAGGGGCAGGTGGGAATAGGGGAGGTTGGTGAAGGGGCAGGTGGGAATAGGGGAGGTTGGTGCAGGGGCAGGTGGGAAGGGCAGGGTTGGGGCAGGGGCAGGTGGGAATAGGGGGGGTTGGGCAGGGGCAGGTGGGAAGGGCAGGGTTGGGGCAGGGGCAGGTGGGAATAGGGGAGGTTGGTGCGGGGGCAGGTGGGAAGGGGGGTTGGGGCAGAGGCAGGTGGGAATAGTGGAGGTTTGTGCGGGGGCTGGTGGGAATGGAGGAGCCGGAGCAGGGGCAGGTGGGAATAGGGGAGGTTGGTGCGGGGGCAGGTGGTAAGGGCAGGGTTGGGGCAGAGGCAGGTGGGAATGGAGGAGCCGGAGCAGGGGCAGGTGGGAATAGGGGGAGGTTGGTGCGGGGGCAGGTGGGAATAGGGGGGGTTGGGCGGGGGCAGGTGGGAATGGAGGAGCCGGAGCAGGGGCAGGTGGGAATAGGGGAGGTTGGTGCGGGGGCAGGTGGGAATAGGGGGGAGGTTGGTGCAGGGGCAGGTGGGAATAGGGGAGGTGGGGAGGGGGCAGGGGAGGAATGGGGAGGTTGGTGCAGGGGCAGGTGGGAAAGGGGAGGGTTGGGGCAGGGGCAGGTGGGAAGGGAGGGTTGGGCAGGGGCAGGTGGGAAGGGCAGGGTTGGGGCAGGGGCAGGTGGGAATAGGGGAGGTTGGTGCGGGGGCAGGTGGGAAGGGCAGGGTTGGGCAGAGGCAGGTGGGAATAGGGGAGGTTGGTGCGGGGGCAGGTGGGAATAGGGGAGGTTGGTGCAGGGGCAGATGGGAAGGGGGGGGTTGGGCGGAGGCAGGTGGGAAGGGCAGGGTTGGTGCAGGGGCAGGTGGGAATGGAGGAGCCGGAGCAGGGGCAGGTGCGAATGGAGGAGCCGGAGCAGGGGCAGGTGGGAATAGGGGAGGTTGGTGCAGGGGCAGGTGGGAAGGGCAGGGTTGGGGCAGGGGCACGTGGGAATAGGGGGGGTTGGGCAGGGGCAGGTGGGAAGGGCAGGGTTGGTGCAGGGGCAGGTGGGAATGGAGGAGCCGGAGCAGGGGCAGGTGGGAATGGAGGAGCCGGAGCAGGGGCAGGTGGGAATAGGGGAGGTTGGTGTGGGGGCAGGTGGGAATAGGGGAGGTTGGTGCGGGGGCAGGTGGGAAGGGCAGGGTTGGGCAGGGGCAGGTGGGAATAGGGGAGGTTGGTGCAGGGGCAGGTGGGAATAGGGGAGGTTGGTGCAGGGGCAGGTGGGAAGGGCAGGGTTGGGGCAGGGGCAGGTGGGAAGGGGGGGGGGTTGGGCGGGGGCAGGTGGGAATAGGGGGAGGTTGGTGCAGGGGCAGGTGGGAATAGGGGGAGGTTGGTGCGGGGGCAGGTGGGAAGGGCAGGGTTGGGCAGGGGCAGGTGGGAATAGGGGAGGTTGGTGCGGGGGCAGGTGGGAATAGGGGGGTTGGGCAGGGGCAGGTGGGAAGGGAGGGTTGGTGCAGGGGCAGGTGGGAATAGGAGGAGCTGGTGCAGGGGCAGGTGGGAATGGAGGAGCCGGAGCAGGGGCAGGTGGGAATAGGGGAGGTTGGTGCGGGGGCAGGTGGGAATAGGGGAGGTTGGTGCGGGGGCAGGTGGGAAGGGCAGGGTTGGGGCAGGGGCAGGTGGGAATGGGGGGGTTGGGCAGGGGCAGGTGGGAATAGGGGGGGTTGGAGCAGGGGCAGGTGGGAATAGGGGAGGTTGGTGCAGGGGCAGGTGGGAATAGGGGAGGTTGGTGCAGGGGCAGGTGGGAATAGGGGAGGTTGGTGCGGGGGCAGGTGGGAATAGGGGAGGTTGGTGCGGGGGCAGGTGGGAATAGGGGGAGGTTGGTGCAGGGGCAGGTGGGAATAGGGGAGGTTGGTGCGGGGGCAGGTGGGAATAGGGGGAGGTTGGTGCGGGGGCAGGTGGGAATAGGGGGAGGTTGGTGCGGGGGCAGGTGGGAATAGGGGAGGTTGGGGCAGGGGCAGGTGGGAATAGGGGAGGTTGGGGCAGGGGCAGGTGGGAATAGGGGAGGTTGGTGCGGGGGCAGGTGGGAAGGGCAGGGTTGGTGCGGGGGCAGGTGGGAATGGAGGAGCCGGAGCAGGGGCAGGTGGGAATAGGGGAGGTTGGTGCAGGGGCAGGTGGGAATAGGGGAGGTTGGGGCAGGGGCAGGTGGGAATGGGGGGGTTGGGCAGGGGCAGGTGGGAATAGGGGAGGTTGGTGCGGGGGCAGGTGGGAATAGGGGAGGTTGGGGCAGGGGCAGGTGGGAATAGGGGAGGTTGGTGCGGGGGCAGGTGGGAATGGAGGAGCCGGAGCAGGGGCAGGTGGGAATAGGGGAGGTTGGTGCAGGGGCAGGTGGGAATGGAGGAGTCGGAGCAGGGGCAGGTGGGAATAGGGGGAGGTTGGTGCAGGGGCAGGTGGGAATAGGGGAGGTTGGTGCAGGGGCAGGTGGGAATGGAGGAGGGGAGGTTGGGGGGGGCAGGGGCAGGTGGGAATGGGGGGTTGGGGCAGGGGCAGGTGGGAATGGGGGGGTTGGGCAGGGGCAGGTGGGAAGGGCAGGGTTGGTGCGGGGGCAGGTGGGAATGGAGGAGCCGGAGCAGGGGAAGGTGGGAATAGGGGGGTTGGTGCAGGGGCAGGTGGGAATAGGGGAGGTTGGTGCGGGGGCAGGTGGGAATAGGTCAGGGTTGGGGCAGGGGCAGGTGGGAATGGAGGAGCGGGGCAGGGGCAGGTGGGAATGGAGGAGCCGGAGCAGGGGCAGGTGGGAATGGAGGAGCCGGAGCAGGGGAAGGTGGGAATAGGGGGGTTGGTGCGGGGGCAGGTGGGAATAGGGGTAGGGTTGGGGCAGGGGCAGGTGGGAAGGGCAGGGTTGGTGCGGGGGCAGGTGGGAATGGAGGAGCCGGAGCAGGGGCAGGTGGGAAGGGCAGGGTTGGGGCAGGGGCAGGTGGGAAGGGCAGGGTTGGTGCGGGGGCAGGTGGGAATAGTGGAGGTTGGTTTAGGGGCAGGTGGGAAGGGCAGGGTTGGGGCAGGGGCAGGTGGGAATAGGGGAGGTTGGTGCAGGGGCAGGTGGGAATAGGGGAGGTTGGTGCAGGGGCAGATGGGAAGGGGGGTTGGGCAGGGGCAGGTGGGAATAGGGGAGGTTGGTGCGGGGGCAGGTGGGAATAGGGGAGGTTGGTGCGGGGTCAGGTGGGAATAGGGGAGGTTGGTGCAGGGGCAGATGGGAAGGGGGGGGTTGGTGCAGGGGCAGGTGGGAATAGGGGAGGTTGGTGCAGGGGCAGGTGGGAATAGGGGAGGTTGGGGCAGAGGCAGGTGGGAATGGAGGAGCCGGAGCAGGGGCAGGTGGGAATAGGGGAGCTGGTGCAGGGGCACGGGAAGGGCCGGGGCCAGACCCAGTTAACGCCCCCTCTCCGGCATGCTCGGCAGCCAGGGCTCGGTGGTGACAGAGTCCGTCCTGCTGTACCGAGTGAGCGACGACACCAGCTTCAGCGCCGCCGACATTGAGCAGCAGCTGAGACAAAGGCTGGGCAGGAATAACAGCTTTGATGGGCTCCAGCTGGACAGTATCCGCGGTGAGCAGGCTCCAGCCGGGCCCCACAGTGTGGCCACAGCCACGTGTCCGGGGGTCCCTGTCCTGGGGGGCTCAGCCCATGGCTGAGGGGGGCTGGTGTCCTTGGCCCTTGTGCAGAGCTCTGTGGAGACCGGGCTGCCCCCGGGGGCTCCTCCAGCTCCCAGCAGAGGCCCCTGGCTGGGCTGCTTTGGGGCGTGTCTGTGGAGGGTGCCTGCCCTGCCCTGCCAGCCCGGCCCAGCCTGTATCTGTCCCAGGGAGGGAGGGAGGGTTTCTGGGCCCCCTGGCAGGGCGCCCATTCAGAGCCGTCCTCGCTGACCCTGGGGCTGGGCCCCCGGCCATCAACTCAGCCTCTTCCCAGCACCCCTGGGCCAGCCCCTTTCCCACAGCCCCTTTCCCTGGCTCTTCTGCCTGGCCAGCTGCGTCCCCTGGCGTGGGCCCCTCTACGGGATCCCTCCCCTCCGGGTCCTCCCCAGCCCCTGACTGCTCCTACTTGTGTTTCAGCCAGTTTTATCGGAACAAGTTCGCCCACCTCGGCGCCAGCACCCCTGGTGCCCGGCTGGGGCATCGCCCTGCTGGTCCTGGTCTGCATTGGGCTGGTGCTGAGCATTCTCCTCTTCATCCTGCTGGTGAGTGCCCCCCGCTGCCCATCCCTCCGGCCGCAGGCCCCTCCAGCCTCTCTCCTTCTCCCTGCCTGACCCCTGCATCCCCTCCGCACCCCCGCTCACCAGCCTCCTCTCGCCCCTCTAGATCGTCTCCATGTGCTGCAGGAGGAGCCAAGGGAGCCTGGATCTGTTCAGCTCAACGACCTCGTACCAGACCATGAGCAAGTAGCATGAAGCGTGCCCCCTATGATGAGGTAAGCACTGGGGCCTGGTCCTGCCCCAATGCCTGTCTCCACACACTGCCTGGGTTCACCCCTGGACGCCAGTGCCCGGCACATGGCAGCCCTGCCTGGCACACGCTGCGGGTGCCAGTGGCTGGTGAAGATGGTGGATGCCCCCCACATTGCTCACAGGGGGTGGGGGATTTAGGGGGCAAAGGTTTGGTCAGCTCATCCCAGAAAATCTCACCAGAGAGAACACAAACCCTGGGCTGGAGAGGGAGGGGCTGCAGCCCAGGTCCCGTGGGGCAGCCTCTGACCTTGCCCCCGGCCCCCCTCACTGAGTTAATCACTAACAGGGCAGCTCCTGGCTGATGTGAAACCAGCAGGTAATGGCTCTGTCCGCCCCGCCCCCACGGCTCTGCCCGGGTCCTGCCCTGGGACAAGGGCTCGGATGGTCCCCCGGCCCCGCTGGTTTCTCCAGCCCCGGCAGGTCCTGCGCCAGACAGGACATTTGCTGAACGCTCGGCCCTAGTTCGGCAGCAATTCACTCCGGGCCGGTCTCTGGTCAAACGAGACGGTCACCATGGGCCGGTCGGCCTGGGACAGTCCAACCTGGACTCTGTGACTCCTGCTGCTGTCTGTGGGGAACGAGCCCCCTGCCTTGCTCCAGAGGGGCAGGGGCCTGGAGTGGGGCTGGGATCAGAGGGTGCAACAGTGGGTGGGGGGACGGAGTGAGAGGGGGGTCAGAGGGTGGCTTTGGTAGTGGGGGTAGGGGCAGGGTGAGGTGATGGAGAGGAGGTGGGGTGGTGGGGCAGGGATGGAGGGGGGTGGGGTCAGAGGATGGCACTGTGGGTGGGGGGATGGAGTGGGGGTGAGGTTGAGGGTGAGGTAGTGGGATGGGGTGGGGTCGCAGAGCAAGGTGGTGGGGCAGGCAGGGAGGGGGGTGGAGGTGGGTCAATGCCTGGCTCTGAGACAAGGCTCTCTACAAATGGCCCCCTTGGCAGCGCTGGCTGGGCCCCTTGCCCATGGATCCCAGGTGGCCCCACTCCTGCCCTGGGACGGGGGGTTAGTGTCACTCTCACGCCCGGCGGGAGGCTCCTGGCTGGGGGATGCCTGCCCTGACGGACGCTGGCCAGGGACCGGGGGGGCTGTCAGGGCACTGGGTCACTCTGCTGTTCAATGGCCTCAGCCAGACCAGCCCCAGCCCCAGCTCCAGGTCCGGCCCAGGCCAGCCCCAGGCCCAGCGAGGGTGGCCAGGCATATCCAGTTTTATGCCTGGTTGAAAAGGGACTCTGGCGGTTCTGGTCAGCACTGCTCGCCGGTCCATTAAAGGGCAGTTGGCGGTACAGGGGGGCTGCAGGATCCCTGCCCGGCTCCACGCAGCTCCCCGGAAGCAGAGACATACCCCTTAGCTCCTAGGCGCCTCCTCCCACGCCCCAACCCCCTACCCCAGCCCAGAGCCCCCTCCCACACTGTGAACCCCTCGCCTCCACCCCGCAGCTTGGAGCCCTCTCCTGCACCCCAAACCCCTCATCGCAGGCTCCACTCCAGAGCCCACATCCCAACCCCCTACCCCAGCCCGTAGCCCCCTCCCGCACTGTGAACCCCTCGCCTCCACCCCGCAGCCTGGAGCCCTCTCCTGCACCCCAAACCCGTCATCGCAGGCTCCACTCCAGAGCCCACATCCCAACCCCCTACCCCAGCCTGAAGCCCCCTCCCGCACCCTGAAGCCCTCATTTCTGGCCCCACCCTAGAGCCCTCACACCCTCTGTACCCCAACCCCCTGTCCCAGCCTGGTAAAAATAAGTGAGTGAGGGTCGGGGAGAGCGAGCGACAGAGGGGGGATGGAGTGAGCGGGGACAGGGTGGCCGGGATCGAATGGGACTGGGGTCTGTTCGCCAGGGCTCGGCCCAGTGAGCCCCTCCCCAGCCCCAGAGCCCCGGTTTCCATGCCGACAGGGGTACATGGTGGTTGCCTGGTTGGGGGTGGATTGGCCCAGCCTGGCTCTAACCCCATCCCCTCTGCTTCCTCCCAGATCGCCGCCGGCAAAGGCACCAACGCCTTCTACGCCAACCCTGCCACATCACAGAATCTCTAGGGGGCCACCCCGAGGACCGGCGGGAGCAGAGCTCCCAGCATCGCCGCGTGCTTCCTGCAGCTGGACTCCAGGGTGCCGGGCAGGGCGACAAGGCAGCCCCGGGCAGGGGTTTGCTGCACAGGGGGTTGGATTCACAATTGGGGAGGGGGTGACTGCCCCCCCGACCCTGCAACCCCTGGCCCTGCGATTGGGCCACATGGGGCGAGCACTAATGGGGCAAATTCCTCTCCCGCTCCACAAGGGAGAGCAAAGGGGCTGCCCCATATATCCCCCCCCAAGCCAACCAGCCTGGGCAGTGCAGGGAGTGGGGCAGGGACTCCCCAGGGGTTGCGTTGGCCTGCACCGCTGGCCTGGGGCTCTGTTTTTGTACCTGTGATCTATAACCACGCCGTTCTGTGATGGCCGCCCCGCTGTGACGGGGAAGTGGGGGTCACAATGTCCTTGGGAAGGTCTGTATTTATAGGGGTGCACAATAAAGGGATCTGTGATGAGTCAGGCTCTAGCTCCGTTTTCTCCTGCACCTCTCGGACGTCTGCTTTGGCAACGCTGCCCGCAGGGCAGGCGAATCAGCGCCACGGTCCATGTGCAGGGGGCTGTGGGACCGGCATCCCTCAGAGCCAGCACCGCCCAGCACACAGCTCACAGCCCAGCAAGTCATCCTGCCATCTAGGGCCAGGGTACCCGGTGCCCTCTCCTGCTCCGACAAAGGGGAGCTCAGCCCCTGAAAATTCCTCCCCTCCAGCCAGGTGAGAGCAGGAGGACAGCAAAAACGCAGCAAGGAAATGGCTGTGCAGGTGTAAAATGGACTCAAAGAAAAGTCTGGCTCTGAGACTGGCCTCGGTGTGACCAAGAGCCCTGCAGTGCCCAGAATCCTGAGGGGTAGCACGTTGGCAGTGCCCAGAATCCCCCCGGGTGTTACCCAGAGCCCTCTCGTCAGCGCCAAAGCTCTGTCTGGTATTTCAGTGGGACTGAACTGCAGGAAATGGGGTTTCACGGCAGCCACACGTAACCTGCAATGTCACCAAAGGCGAAATTGGACGAGAGGAGGCGGGGGCCATAAAACCATCACGAGGGGCCAGAACAGACCCAGCTGCCCCTTGCTTTAACCTGGGCTAGTGCATTGATCTTCCTGAGCCCGGCGTCTCCAGGGGAGCCCAGTTGTTTTGACGCCCGGACACTGAGATGCCTTTCCGTGGCCTGGGGTCGTGGGCCTGCTTGGGCAGCGCTGCTTGTTCCTGTGACGGGCACGGGCAGTGTCGTGGGCGAGGGCAGGGACAGACACATAGGGAAGCTGACAGCTGGTAGCCAGACTTCCTGGCCAGGGCTGGATTAACCCATTGGGGTCCTAGGCAAAACACACATAGGGGCCCTACCCAGTGATGCATAACAGCACGGCATCAGACAGCCCACTCCCTGCAGCTGGGCTGGCCGTGCTGTGGCTGCTCTGGGACCAGCTGTGCGTCCTTTTGCTGCTCATCATGGCTGGGGGGGGGTGTCGCACCTCCACTCAAATTTCCCAGGCCATAGAGTGCACCGTGTGGCTGTTTGTCGGCCCCCAGGTCCCTCCCCCAACATGTGGGCCCCAGGCACGTCTAGTGTGCATAGGCGTTGATCCAGCCCTGTTCCTGGCACTGGGCACCGCTGGCTCACAGGCCAGTCCCTGGGGAAGGGTGGGAGCAGTGGCTGCCCTGGCCCTGGGATGGGGCTGGGTGGAGCTGTGCCAGCCCTGAGCTCTCGTTCTGCAGGGCCGCTGGAGTTCTCAGGGGCTCTTGCTGGGGATCGGGGCCTATGGCGGAGCCGCCCTTTAGTGCCGTTTCTTACTGGCTCAGACGGGGAGAAACCGCCTGCCACTGCCCTCCTCCCTCCGGCTGTGTGCAGAGGTGTGTCCAGGGGCCCAGCCTGGGACAAGCTGAGACTCATGGGACGGGCTGGCCAAGGCACTGAGCAAACACAGAAACGCCAGAAAACAAGGAAACAAAAGTGAATAGTTATGTAAGGAACTGACTGTGGGGCTAGGCCCAGGGCCCAGGGCCAGGCAGCACCACCAGGTAAGGGCCAGGGAACCCCCAGACAGGGCCCTGGCATGGTGCCAGCCAGACCCATCAAGACCCCCTGGGCACAGCCAGGTGCATGGTGCCAGCCAGACCCTCAGGTCCCTGAGCTCCCTAACCTGCTCCCAGAGGCAGGTTACTGGGCTCCTCGACTCCTGGCTCAGGAAAGCTGCAGCTACAGCCCCAAACCCAAACCCTGCTGCCCCAGGGAGGGCCTGACCCCAGTCTGCTGACCCAGAGCCCACCCCACCCTCCCTGCCCAGGAGGGGCTGCAGCCTATGGTGAGACCCTGCCCCATGGGTCCATGAGCACCTGGCCCTGGCTGCTGTGACCAGGGTCCTAGTGGGGAACCAGCCGAGGTCACTCAATTAGGGTGAACTGCAGAGAATGGGGCTGACAAACTGTGACCCAGCAGGGACGGGGGAGTGTTGACCTGGGAATGGGCCAGAGGAGTTTCACTGGGAGACCTGAGAGCCTGTAACCTGAGCCAGGAGGGGGAGGGAGAGGTAACACCTCTGCCCGGGAATGTGGACACAGGCTGCAGGAGGGAGCCTGCTGGGGGGGTTTAGTTTTTCAGTTTGGTGCTGGGTGGAGGAACGCAGGGAACCCCAGGGCTGGGGTCTAAGCTCCCTGCCCCCCAGAAGGACTTGACTGAAGGGTCCTGGTTGTACCCACAAGCTCTGTTTGAGACTGTGTTCCTGTGGTCCAATAAACGTTCTGTTTTACTGGCTGGCTGAGAGTTGCGGTGACTCCCAGGAAGAGGGGTGCAGGGCCTGGACTCCCCCACACTCCGTGACAACTGGTGGGAGCGGTGGGATCTACTGCACCCCGTGGACGGTGCTTCCTGCAGTAAGTGACTGGGGAGCAGTAAAACGAAGGGGGATTGACGAGGACCAGGCATGCTGAAGATTCAGAGAGAGACGGTTTCTTGGGGCGGTTAACCCCCGGGAGTGTGTGACCAGAGAGAAGGACTTTTGCAGTAACAGGGTCCCCCGGAGGATTGCAGCGAGCGGTCCCATGGGCGGAGGAGTCTGCAGCTCGACCACGAGTTATATTTTGTATAAGATTTGCTGTAATTATATAGCAGTGGTAGCAATAATGATTTGCATGGTTATATTTTAATTAGACAATGTCACACCTGCCCTGTCCAACGGCATGTTTTGAAGCCAATTCCGCCCATAAACAGTCAGATGGGATGAGTGGAGAAGCCAATAAAACAATTAAAAATATCCCAGTTCAAACAAAGCTAAGTGTAGAGGGAGGGGGATGTGCGGGCGGTTGGTGCTGGGGAGCCTAGTGATTCCCAGGGTGCTGCCCATCAGGACCCCTAGTCAGCTGCCCTGCCTCTCTCGCCCCCTACTCTGCCCCTTCAGCCCATGGCAGGGGTGCTGAGAGCCACTGAACCAAACTATAAACCCTGTATATAATTAATAAAATGTAAACCCTAACGCCCCCCTGCAGCCCTGCGTCAGCCCAGCCCGACTCCCCAGCGCCCGCCCGAAATGGGGCTGCTCCAGCCCCGTGACCACCATGCGCTGAGGGGGGACTTGGCTTCCACCCTGCACGGCCCAGAAGGTTTGAGCAGCCCCAGCACAGCCTGCCGGGCGGCTTTCTGGGCCGCGTGCGCCCAGCTGCCAGAGCCAGCCACATGGAGGAGGCGCTGTTGGAAGAACTCCTCTCGCTTGCTGTCACGGGAGTCCCTGGGCGATGCTCTGGAACTGCTCCCTACGAAGCCAGGCAGGACTCTGGGGCAGTCGCCTTTCTGTGAGCAGCCTGTCTGCAGGACACACAGCTCACACAGCTTCCACCTTCCTGGGTCTGACCTCGGAGCATTCAGCATCCTCTGCCCCTCCGTGCGCTTCCCACAGTGAGTCCGCTCAGGTGGGGCTCCTGGGGAAGCCAGAGGGTCCTGCACCCCAACTTCGCAGTCAGACGTGACTCTCAGCCAGCCAGTAAAACAGAAGGTTTATTAGACAACAGGAACATGGTCTAACACAGAGCTTGTAGGTGCAGAGAACAGGACCCCTCAGCTGGGTCCCTTTCTGGGGGGCAGTGAGCCAGACAACCACGTCTGCCCTTCACTCCATGTCCCCAGCCAGCCCCAAACTGACTCCCCCTCCAGGCCCCACTCCTCTGGGCTTTGTCCCTTTCCCGGGCAAGGAGGTCACCAGATTCCTTTGTTCTCCAACCCTTTAGCTCTCACCTTGCTGGGGGGAAGAGCCCAGGCCAACAGTTGCCAGGAGACAGAGTGTCGGCCATTTATGTACCCTGGCCCTTTGTTCTGGAACAATTACCCCCCTTATCCCACCCCCTAGAGACTTAAGAAATGCATAGGGGAAACTGAGGCACCCCCACAACACTCGGAGGAAACATCAAGAACAGTCCCACTTCGTCACATCTCTCCCCCCTTTGAGATCGAACTGAGCAGGGTCACTTTACCCGGTGACCTGGGGAAGTTCAAAGCCACCAATGTTCCCATGGATGCCCCAGCATCTCTCCCATTCCTTGGTCGGAGTTACACCAGGCCCTTCCAGTTTCACGCCCTCCCTTAGGTCGGGGGTGGTCGATAGCACTAGCAGGCTGCATGTGGGAAGGTTTCTGCAGCCCATGCCCTTTGGCCACCCCAAAACCCCAGGGGGTCAAACTGGGATTGGGTTTTCTCCCAGAGCTCCAGTCTGGAGGGCTGCAATTCGGGCTCTCTTGGTTAAGGGCCCCCATCTTGACCTGGGCCACATACTGTTCACTTACAGAACTAGCATGGAGACATCCCTTTCTCCACAACCTTGTCTCCCCAACAAGCTGGCCAAACACAGCCACTTGGTTATAGGACGGTATACCTTTCTTAACAGCTTTCACTCCATCTGAGACCTTCTCAAAGCTATCCACACTGTGTCTTTCAACAGGAAAGTCAGTGGATCCATTCACAACAGAAAATTTCTGGCTGTTAGGAACTGAAACTTTCTTGATTAAATCATTTTCACACCCTTCAGTTGCAGTAAACTGCTTGCAAAGACTCCATGAGGATTCCTTTCCCTAGGGCTTTTCTATGCAACAATTCACCCCTCCCAGAAATTCTGCTCTTACCCTCTTTACCTAGCGCTTGCTCAAAGGGAACACTTTCCTGAGCAACAACAGACTCTTTCTGGGTCTCCCTTACATCCAGAATCACCTCTGGCCCATCAGGCGGATTCCTACACAATCCCCTTTCAGGCAAACTGACAGACTTCCTAGATAAAAGGTCAGAAGCATTCTCCTTCCCCTTGCCACACACAAGTTCAGGAATCTTTTCCTTCTTGCTACAGGTTTCCACACCCTCAGTAGGTAACACAATCACACACCTTCATGCTCTCCTTGTGCCCTGGCTAGGATCTCACCCTGATTAGACAGAGTTGCTCCACCCTTTCCAACAACACACTAGCAACAGGCAAAATACAAGCACC